CAACCATTGAAATAGTCAGATATAGCCATAGTTGTGATTTTTATGTTTAGCCATCAGAAGGGTTTATAATTGGCAACATACAATTATTTGACAGTGTCTCTGACGTTGAGTATAATGTATTTTCGATCAAGTTTGTCTCACCCACCAGCAAGTTGCCATTATTCGTTCGAAAGGTGGGAACTTTACTGAGATTCGTTAATAATGATAAAACGTATAAAGAGGTCAGACAGTCTGCAGTTCCGTCATCAGGAACCCGACTTGGACAAATCTACTGAGATGTGCATCAAACCGAGACGCAGACTCGGCCATTATGAATAGCGTCGTCTCCCAAGCAAATGTCGCAAGACGCAATGTCACCAAATGCAACATGCATCAATACAACTATCGCAGGTCAACACGCCAACATACAGCCTATCCGCATACACAGCAGACATCATCACCTCGAACCTCCGTCAACCAGAATCATACGATGCAATGATATTAGGCGCAGATCACCCCGCAAATACCACAAGACGCATTACTGCATATAGCCGCCCGCATCAATGTGACTATCGCGTAGGTGGCACACCCTCACACCACACCAATATAACTCCAATCAACTTCGGCTCCAAAGTTTAGAATATACTCGGAACACCGGAACAACAAGTGTCCAAACATACTCTTTCACGATCCGAATGATAGTCGACGTATCATAGCGTAAACACTAAGACGCCAACCACCAACGGACCCCCACCCAAGCCAAGTAATAGCCAACGTATCATAGTGGAATACACTAAGACGCAAGCCACCACCAGACTCCCCAAAGTCAGATGATCAGTCGACGTATCATAGTGCAACACACTAAGACGCCAACTACCACCAAACTCTTACTATGCCGAATGACAGCCAACGTATCATAGTGATGGTCACTAAGACGCCAACTACCACCAGCTATCGATGATATGTCCACCACTGAAGACATATCCATTCATGGTTCCACGTTTACCGTAGACCATATCGTCGTACAGAAGTACCACGCAACTCCATAGTAATATGTCTTATAAAGTCCCAAGTCATTCATTGCTCTTCATTATATTTATATATTTATTATTTTTTCTCTGAGCCTTCACATATTATTACTTTTATCCATTAGACCTTACTTCCATATGATATTGGTATGGGACGTTCATACAATGTACTTTGACTATAGTACTAAGAGTCGCGATCGACCTCTGTACTTCCATATGTGCGGTCATACAAATGTGTCCCCGCACGGTACATAATACTTCCCTTAGAAATCACTAAGTATGGAATTGTATTTAATGGACATAATAGTGATCGTATCTTGCTATATTTTTAATAAATATCCTTTTTTGAGTATTTTAAGTGATTTTTAACTATTTTTTATCAATTTTTCGTAATATCATTTTCTCATACTAACACTTATATTTCTTTAATTTAAGTATATGTTATTAACTTTTATTGTGATTAAACGTTCTTAAACGTTTTATTTTCATCTTAATTGATCTTTATTATGACTAATTAATAATAATATTTATTATTATTAATAGGTCGTTACAATGTGTACAGTTGTAAATAGATCAAATATAAATAGGCAGTAAAAATCACGTGACTACGTGAGTAATTTTAACCTAGGTTTTCTTATTAAGACTCATCTAATCTCTTATAGACGTTAAGTATTTAAGTATTTGTTATTACTATACTCCATAGAGTATCTCGTTCACGGGGCGCTGTTTACGCTTCTACAACAAAATTTCAGTTGATGCGCAAATCCTGTCTATTAACAGGTTTAAGAAATTTGACAAAAGCAGGATACCTATAGAGTTTCTTTCGCCTGTTTCGTCTCCCGTAACAAAAACGGTACCACCGTTTCGTAATGAGACTCCTATGTCGGTGTCGGTATAGAAAAATTACTATCGAAAGACGAAATTAATATTTTCTTATTTCTCAGATCTAATGTCTCACTCAGATTGACTTGCAATTAAGTTTTCCTATCGCACACCGAGCACTAACACTAAAATTTGTGAATTTTCAATTTGTGACATTTAATTAAAACCAAATCCACAACATTTCATAACGACTCCATATTTTTCTTACTGGCATAAAGCACGAACCAAGCAGATTGTTACATATATTTGCAGTCTTACATTCTTGATCACTCAAACCGGTAGTTGTGTGTTTTTCATTAAACATTGTTTTATTTATTCAAATTTTCGCTTCTTTGTTTCGGACAATAAATTCATAAATGCGATATCGGATATCTCTGAGGAATAATATTAATACACAAATCTTTATTTTCTTGTATTTGAGTAAATTTTTATGGATAACCAAAAAAGTAAAAATAGGTCAACCAATGAAACTTTTCGTTTTCAACATAAGTACTATATTCCAAAACATCATAGTTGTTTCAATGTAATGTGTTTAACTTCAAATGTAACTCTTTAATGTGTGAATTACCCAAAAAAAAAAAACGTCATGAACAAAACGCCATCGTGATGAATACCCGCGCTTTTCGACGTGCGAAAACGTTGTGGAAATTTTAGAGTGAATTTCGTTTGAGCGCTTTCAATAAATCACCACAGTAATGGTCAGCTTTCACGCGAAGCGATCCTGTAAAATTGCTTATATGCACAGGACTGTGCTATTGAACGACCATTCATTATGCCATAAGAAAATTCACTTGAAAATGCTTGACCGAGGGAAGCGTTTGTGGTATTAAGTTCCTGTAAATCTGTTTTTTTTTTTTCTGGAATTCTGGAAAATCTAAAAATGTATTAATGAAAGTACCGTTAAAACATTTTTTTGATTCTCAAAGAGTAGTTGGTTCTTACCATTTGTGGAGTTAAACACACTTCTACAAGATTTAGGGATGTATAAATTCGACTATGAATCTCTTATACAGAAGAAACAATAAGAACATTTAAGGACACATAGCTAATGTAAAGCAATATAAGATTTGACAAACCATATATTTTTGAAAGGGAATACAAGTCTATAGAAAAGAAAAAGAATATTTCCGTTTTAATAGAGAATATAATGGGGGCTTTACCACCAACTATACTAGAGACTAGAGAGAACTATAGAGACATATCACTAGCTAAGTAATCAATAAACAAAATTGATAGTCATCTATAATTTTCGAGAAAAAAACGTATTTAAATCTTGTTATTTTCACTAAGAAAGTCCGCCATTTTACTATTGTCAACATTTTCACATTTAAAAACCTTCCTTACGAAACTGTTTTACAACACTGTCTTGTCCGCCCTTGAAACATTCAATTTTTTTTACAAGAATTCATGATAACACAAAAATTAAAAAGTACTGAAATCGTTCAGTACTTTTTAATTTTTTGTAAATTTTCATCCTCCGACGCGAGGTTCTGGCTCCGCCTTTTTATGTTCACTCTAGGGGTAGGGACCACAAGACCACGTGGAGTCGGGGTGCTCTGTGTCGAATCTGTGACTCATTATGAATGTAACTTAGTCCATTTTTATCATAGATTTATAAAAATCATGTATAAAACAATCAGCTTGAGTTACGTAAAGTCGAATTTAATTTAAATCAGTTTATAATACACCGTGATAATATTAAGGGCTTTTAACAAAAAGATTTTATAAAATTTGTAATCGAGTTTCGAAATCGATATTAGCATATTGGCTGTATCAATATTTTAGTGCCAAATCGCATATCAAATTTATAACCAAAAGTATTTCCCGCTCATTTTATATTAATCAAATATGTATTTACCTACGTTATTGTATTAGTCTTATTTTTTTAATAAAAATTTATTCCAATTGGAATCAAATCGTTCCGTGCTTTTAAATTTTTCGTGTTATCATAAATTCTTATAAAAAAATTGGAATGTTTTAAGTGTCGACAAGACAGTGTTTTACGGAAGGTTTTAAAATGTGAAAATGTTGATAATAGTAAAATGGTGGATTTTCTTAGTGAAAAAAACAAGATTTAATTGTTTTTTCTCGAAAACTATGAGTGACTACCAAATTCTACTTCTTGATTAATTTCTAAGTGATACGTCTCTATAGTTCTCTATCGTTTAAATTTTTCTTCTGTTTGCTATATAAAAGTAGTGGGCTGCTGAAATTTTACCCTATGGGTTAATCGGAAGGGTACAAAGTAAAAGTATTGTGCTAAATAATGTAATCTAAATATCTACTTTCAGTTTCAGTACCTGGAGGACTGAGCTTTGCTCATTTTTTTTTTTGTAAATCGTGTATTTTGGAAAAAAAATAAAAAATAAAGAAAGCAATGATGTACAGAAAAAATTAAAAAAAAAAGTGTGCAAATGATCGTGACACGAACCGCCTTCTGTTTAGGGGCCGCCCTATTACCGACCGAGCTATTATAACATTTTTTTCCATGAAAATAGACATTCCCTAAAAACAGGGATAAAAGGACATTTTCTAAAAATGAAACTTAGCTAGATGGATTTTTCGAGAATTGCTCGTTTAAAGGTATTAGATGTGCAAGATAAGCAAAGTCCTTACTGTTTAAAAGTCAACAACTCACATGCATCTTTTCAAGTATTCCAGACAGCCTTGGGCGGCGGAGGCCACTAGCAAAACCTCATACCACTGACCAGTATAATCGTATACTTATTTTGACCGGGAATCATTGAAAAATTATTAACAAAAAAAATAATTACTTATAATTTATTTTATTAGTCGAAAGATTTCAAATATTTTATATGTATTCTGCTATTAAAATATCCTCAACTAAATTCATTTACAATGACACTACAGGTCTCTTCGTTATTTTAATGATCACTTTCATTAATAACAGATTTTTTGATAAAATATTTTGAGAGGAATGCTCTGATTTCAATCCTCGGCATTTGATATTCAATCCACGTGTGTCATTGATGGTGATTTCCCTTAGGCTTGATGTTGGAAATGGAAAACAATGTTTGTCTGAGCAATAAAAATCCAATCGTCTCATATCAAAATTATTAATTTTTATTTGTCAAAAATTGGCACTGTTCAACCATAAATATAAACTTCGTAATGCAACTTTTTTCCCCTGTCGCTTTTCATGCGCAGGTTCACGAAGCTGAAGCCAACGCCGCCGGCCGTCACGTTAGCAGAGGCGCCAGAATTAGTTACATCGTATGCCAGAATGCCCTGGAAATAAAACGAAACGAATAAATCACTCACGTCTTTTAGGACCTACGGTCTCGATAAAGATAAAATATACAACTCAGCTTGTGTATTCTAAAACCTATACCGTAGACTGGAGATACAAATGCAGACAGTGATTTTGCACATAAAAAGAAAAAATCAACAAATTATCTAAAAAACAGAAATATAAAGTGTGAAATATATTAACCAATAATGGCCAATATAAATGATAGAAACACAAAAGTAACGTTCACATGCTTCACTTAGTGGGTTTATCGCAACGAACATATACCACTGAACATAAGATCGGATTCTTAGGTTCCAGATCATAGAAGTACGGTCAAAATTTTAAAGTCAGTTGAAGGAATAGTTCAAAGCTGAAGGAAAGTACCATGCTTAAAAGTAAAAGCTTGGGTTTAATTTCATGATGAATGTGAATAATGATGCACTTTACAGTAGCAATTGTTCATTAACAATGAACAGAGACTTAGCTTGGCTACATAGGTCAGGACAGATAGCAGACATGCGCTGTTAAATTACATGATCCCGATGGCCAGTTGATGTTGGGGAAAAGAGCAATGTTCATCATCTCTCTCTTCTATCGCCCATCTTTCTATATACAGGTTGATTTTTTAGACGAAGTACATACTTTATCATAGAGCGTTCCATAATTCAAAAAAATATTAATATTTTATTTTGACCATACCAGGAAAATATCAATTCAAATGTTGCTTGTTTATCCCGTTATTAGTGGTCTTTTGATAGTTTTAGTTAATATGCGTTCGGCGAAAAGTTTTAGTACTCGTCAACAAGTTATTTCATTGAGACGGTAAGGCAAGAATTTCTTAAGTTGTTAAAATCATCCCGTATATGTATTAACTAAAATGTTTTCCGTGCTGTGTGGTGTGACGTCTTCCTTTTGGAACAATTATATGTGAGATTCGTACCATCTCTCTTAGCTAACGTAACCCTGTAGGAGGGCCGCAATATTCTTCGCTTTTGTACGATTTTGCAGGTCCGTCCGGGGATTTATCACGTCCTCATAGAAGACCGGCGTGAAATAGAAGTGTTGTACTTCTGCGTTTCGTCTGGTAAGTGAGATAACCGGGTCCACTTTATTAAACGGTGGCAATGCACCTGCAACCCTAAGGGTGTTTCAAATATCGAATATCTGAGGACGTTGGATATCCTTTAAAATCCGGTGAACATCCAGCTCGCTTGCTACCTTCTCACATAAAAAACAACGTACACGTTACACGGCAAATAAGCGATATAAGATAAGAGAAACGGGGTAATGAATTCCCACTTACCTCAATGAAACCGTTTCTTAAACGACTGTATGGAATCGTGATGTTCGCAGTTGTGATAGTCTTCTGAAAGGTTTTCGGTTTCTCCTGGACAGTGCGTTGCAATACTAATTGTCTCTGTACACTCGTGCCGATAAAAGTATGGGAACATTCCACTATAACGACAGCCGCGATCAAAAGCCCGACGGTGAAATATCTCATTTTGCACAGCAATGTCTATGCAGTTCGTGCAGCAAAATGTGACTTAGCCAGTGTACTTGTGTGTTATATATAATAATTTCATTAATTGTCAGCCTTTTAATGATTTTAACGTTTAATTTTTAAAATAATTTATAGCAATCAACCAAATATTAGATCCCATTTGTTGTGGGTTTTTACGACTGACACTCTCTTATCTCATCCGTTAACGTTAATAAATAATGACGCTAAATATCTTATTATTATTATTATAAACTTTGCTATTACGATGATGAGACGTAACGGTACGTTGAAGAAATGGAAAATGGCAAAAGAAGGTTCACGTAAATTATAATTTTACATTTTTATGCTTTAGGTTCATGGACTACATGGCTAAGCTCATCGAATTCACAACTTTCCTAATGATTTCGGGGCCTGGTAAGATAAATAGTACTTTAAGTATCATTATTAGACGCGTACGTCTACAGGCGTGTTTCGACTTACTTGGGTGTGTGGAGTCAAAGTGGTACAGTTGAACCTGGCCTCAAACGGTCGTCGTTTGCTTGAGAAACACAAAAATATCAACAATATAAGTTAATAACTGAAAGGGAAAATGGGTAAAATATATATATATATAATCAGATATAAACTATAATATTTATTCTTAAAAAAAAGAGCTGTCCGAGCAATCTATAACATCGGAGCCCGGAATACATTTAGAGACCTTTTTAAAGAGATTAATATACTCACTGTTGCGTCTCAATAAATTTATTGTAATATTTTGTATGTTAAACATAATATTAATAATTATCGAAAGAATAGTGACAGACATAAACTAAATACTAGAAATAAGGACGTTTCGTCTACAAAAAGTAAACAGGTCGTTCATGGGGCAAAGTGTGCGCATGTATAATAAAATCCCACAGTCGATATTAAGTCTGCCACTTGACGAATTTAAACGAAAAGTTAAAAGTAAACTTATGGCTAAAGCATACTATACTATTGCTGAATATCTTGACGACGCCAATGTGTGGGGTTAATACTGTTGATACTCACGTAGGCTAAAACAAGACTATTATACCTGTAACATTATATTGTAAACTGACCTTTTAAAAAAAAGAGCAACTGTTGAGTTTCTTGCCGGTTTCTTCGCAACAGAAACTGCTTTCCGAACCGGTGTTAACTTACGAACATTTTAATTAATTTCCTTGTAAAATTTCGACGTTTCATAAGAACGCGCAAGCGTCTATGTGAATAAAGATATTTTATTATTATTATTATTATATATATATATATATGTGGTTCACACAAATTCTTGTCCCTTGTTGTAGTCAAACCTTCGACCCCCGGCATCGTTGTCTTCCTTTTTGTATGATTGTGGCTAAAGATGTGTGAGGTCTAGCGTTATCATGATGATAAGCCACACCCCTTCTGTTGATTAATTTCGGCCGCTTTCTCTCAACTTCTTGCTTTAATCTCATCAGTTGTTCGCAGTAGAGGTCAGAATCGATGGTCCTGCCTGGCGGTAACAGCTCATAATGAATAATGCCCTCCCAATCCCACCATACACACAGCATTACCTTCTTGCGCGATAACCCGGGTTTTGCCAGAGTCTGTGAAGCCTGACCAGAATTTGACCAAGACCTTTTTCGCACATCTTGTCGTACGTGATCCACTTTTCATCACCAGTTATCAGGTTTTTCAAAAATGGTTCGGTTTCATTACGTTGTAATACAGAATCACCAATGAGTACACGGTTCATTGGGTTTCTTTCAGTGAGCTCATGACGCACCCAAATATAGAGCTTTTTTGCGTACCCATCTTATTTCAAATACGCCAAAACTGTTTTGTGATCAATTCTCAGTTCTTCTGCTACATCGTTACTACCTATATGCCGATCTTGCTCCTTTTTCAAAAATGGCATCCATTTTCTCCCTAACAGGGTGCCCAGAGCGAGATGCATCTTTGACTTCAAAATTTCCGGATTGAAAACGCTTAAACCAAATTTGTGCTACTCGTACAGACACTGCACTAGGTCCATGAACATCATAATTTTTCTTCGCGGCTAGTGTTCCATTTTTACCTTTTCGGTAATAAAATTTCGAAAGTAAGAACAGTAAGAAAAACAAATGAAAATCAGACATTTTTCTATTTTGAATTTGGAATTATATTTTTTAAAATTTAAACTTTTTAATAAACTAAAACTAAAACCAGACAGATAACAAATGGTATAGCCAAAGAGATTACATTATAAGTTTATACATACTATTTGCGAAAAGACTTTTTCCCGCACCTAATATAATAATCCTACTTAAAGTAATAAATTTCTAACAGTCAATCAACTCTTTAAACTAGTGAGTTTAAAGGCATAAAATTGAGCATAACAAATCTTTACATAACGTAGACGTAGGACAGAACTGAGCAAGGATTGTTAAAAACTATGTTATCTCCTGATGTTACAAATTATCTAAAAATAGTAAATCATAACGACGTAAATTATGTGTTTCTTTTTCATACATAGTTATGTAGTTAATAGAAAAATTCTGGAACATCAGTACAAAACAAAGTCGTAAGTACATTTCAATAAGGGATATTATTTCTATTATTTTGTACAAAATTTCCATTAGGTTTTTGCATTTACTATGCGTACGATTGTGTACTGTGAATTCATAAAATTTGGGAAGTTGAATTTGAAATATTTAATTGAAATAGCGGGCTAGCCAGTATATAAGGGTCCAAATATTTCACGTTACATAGAAGGAACGGTGGAGGCACGTACATGCGTCACGTTGACGCGACTAGCATATGAAGTGCTTTATTATTTACTACGCGACTGCAATATACAAATGTCCGGCTGCAAAGCATTATTTTATTGCGTCTGTGTTTATTTAAAACACATAAAAGGTTATAGAATATACGTCGTTAGGTCAGAGAGAGTACCGAGCCATAACATCGTTTCAGAATAATTGCATTAGGTAGTATTATAATGGTTTTTTGTTCCTTTGATTAGGCACTCTTCATGCCGTAACTATCATATATTTCATTCTTTCTCTTATTTCATCGTAGATTTTTAGTAAGGCCACACAGCTGCTTTCTACCATTGTATGATTAGGAAGGCTTATCCTGGAAAGAACCATAATTGTTCGAAAGCATAGGCTTATTATTTTTCCTGAATCTCACCACAAGGATGTGCGTTATTAATGTTATTGTTGTTTCAAGACTTCGTACATCATTTTTTTGATATTCAGGTAACATTTAGGAAATAATAAAGCTTATAACGTCATACTATAAGTCTCTGTCTCCAAATGCATTCAATTCACAAGAATCATAAAGTAGTGGTCATTACTGTTATTTGGTTGGATTCATAATTGTAATATGTTAACTTAAATTCGCACCTTCCCCTTTTTGAAACTAACAAATACCTTTATTTTAAACACGCTTTTATTATCTTGGCATCATTAATAAAAAACCAAAAAACAATTTTTGTGAATAACCATTTCTTTACAAATGATACCTACATTAAAAAATATGAGTAATATATTTTTCAATATATGGAAGTACATATTAGTATAACATATAGGTGTTCGTGAACACTCATTATATTGTTTGAAATCGTTTTTATTACTGTAGGTACCAATTCCACTGGTTGTACCGTAATAACTTCATCAATAATAATTATAATTGCAATTGACGTCGTTTAACCGCAAATCTTAATTAATGATTACATTGCAAATGCCAATGGAACCGTCAACATAGTCAGTACTTAATTTCAATAAATATAATGTATCTATGTAATATGGTTCTATTATATTAGAACACATGTCATCTGTCAGTACTATACTAAATTATTATTTATGCAAATAACAATTTAATTAGTCCCATAAATTAATAATTAATGTTTTATTTTAATTTTTTTAATAATATATACACAAATAATTATCTGTATTTCATATAAAACTGCCCACAGAGAAACATTATCTATGGTCTATGCAAATGCTTCTTTTGCGGGAATCGAATCTGCAACGAAGAGAAATCAAATAAGGCAACGCACTCTTGATACACACACGTCTGATTGTAGTTTCTGTTTTTTAGTAGTTAGTATTAGTCAAGTTTTAACATTCAATTAATATTTAAAGGGTAAACTGTGGTGGGGCCTCGAAGAAAAGCACTATTGTTGTTTAAATACCGACATGAATTTTAAGTATTATACTATATTGCGTTTCGTCTGGTGAGTATAGTAATCTGGGCCCTTCAACCCGACATGAATCTCATCGACCCGGTTGAATAAGGGCACACAGGCACGTCGTACACACCGGGGTTTCTTCACAACACCATACCCACAGTTAGCTAACTTGCAAGTTATTTCATCCTGAACTACGAGCACGGCTAAATTTCAAAACCCGCGGGTTCTGGCTAGCCCACCGGTTCTGCGTCAGATGAAGCTTTAATAGTCTCGGGACTGAAAGCAAAAACATCAGTTAATACAAGATACAAGACGGCTAAATTAACACGTACACATGGTACACCGGCGTTCCACGGGGATACTCACCGCCCCCAGCCGCCAATTGATACAGTCAACGTACATTTTTTTTTTTTTTTATTTCATTTAAGACACCAACAGTATACATATTTACACAACTTACAAAAATATTTGTATATGTCGCCGCAGCGATTATTTGGCTTTTAAGTTAATTTAAAATCGTAATACAGAATATCAATGTTTATATTTAGAAAACAAGTTTGTTAATTCATAAATTTAGTTTTAATTATTACAAGAAATGATTATTCTCAACTACATGATTAAAAGTTATATTTACTAGAAAATCAATAACTAAATCCTCATCTTAATTTAGTAAATAAATACTACCTTAATTTAAACATTTAATTTATAAGTAACAGTTTTGTCTCACTAATACAGTCTCAATACGATTCCGTATTTCAACCATTTGAATGTCCATACTGTTGTTTATTTGTGAAATTGCTTAAATAACTTTTGAATAGTTTTAAAACATTACTATAAAACT